ATATATATATGTGTGTGTGTGTGTATAATAAGTGTTTGTATGGCGAGGCCGCACTTTTAAACATCCCGTCCTGCATGAATCCACTTCACGATATTCATATTTGTGTGTGAATAATTTACATAAGCTTTCTCACAGTATCACATGTCATGCATCTTCCCTACCGTAGCCTACTTCACATAAGCTTTTCTCACTGTACGACATATCATGTATCATTCCTAACGTAGGCCGCTCAAGTGCCACAGACAACAATGACAGCAATACCAATGGAAGTGCGGTTCCTACTCAAGGAGCAAAGGTAGAGCGTGCCGCGGTGATTGAGGACAAAGTGGACCAAATCATCAGGAAACAGAACGGCCTCATCACCAGAAAACGGGACAAGACCATGTGTTCGCACGGGCCACGTGGCATGTGCGATCACTGCCGGGCTCTAGATGCATGGGACGAGAACTATCTGAAAGAAAATAATATTGTATGTCTGTATCTGTAGCGGATAGGCTGTACATATATATATGTATATATATATATATGTGTGTGTGTGTGTGTGCGTGTGTGTGTGTGTGTGTGCGTGTGTGTGTGTGTGTGTGTGTGTGTGTTGTGTGTGTTGTTTTGTGTGTGTGTGTATGTGTAGCGGGTTGCCTGTACGTGTGTGTGTGCTGGGTACGAGCGCGTTCTTGTAGCATTTGTGTCTGAAGTTCATGGAAGGTGTTTACGGGTACTTTTGGTTATCTAAGAGACTGGTACATTCATGCACATTGCGAGACACTGAACTCTATCTGAGGATTGTAGTACAAGGTATGATCCAATGATCTTGTAGAACAAAGTATGATCCAATGATCGATAGACGCCCGTCCTACGGTACAGAGTTGCATACTTGGCACTTTCGTACAAGGTGTGTCCCTCCTATTCCATCTGCGTTGGCACAAAACGCGATGTAGTTCCACGTCTTTCTGAGCAAGGCAATCAGAGCATCTGAAACAGCACAGGCACGTCTGGCTGACAAGCATACTGATGCTTTGAATGATAGCTACACTCTCTACAGTAAGAGAAATACAAACTGCATACGTTTCGTTCGAAACCTTATTGGTATGGCTCACTCTAGTATTGGCACAGAGGCGCATGTTTCCCCACGCCATTCGGCACAAGTAGGTGGGGGGGCTATACAGCAGGACACACACGCTCTGTCGCGTACCCCACACGCCAACAAACATACTAGCATGCTTTGATATTAAAATACTAACATACCCTATCATCACTGCCCTGATGCAATATCTCAGTGTATTGCCGATCACTTTGTACTCTCGTCTGATATTTAAATACTAGCGTACCCTATCATCACTGCCCCGATACAATATCTGAGTGTATTACCAACCGACCACTCCGTACGTCCGCACACAGAAACACATGTCCTTCCACGCCTTTCTACGCAAGCAATCGGGGGGGATGAAGAAGGACAAGCACGTGTCACTGTCAGACACCTCGCTGCGGATCAAGACAGGCTGTACCACACACCCTCCGTGGCCTGAGGGCATCTGCTCAAAGTGCCAACCGTCAGCTGTCACACTGAAACGACAGGTGTGGGCTCTCGCTGTAATACCTATGCGTGTACTTGTCTATTTGCAGCACTGATGTATGTCCTTGTGGGGTAGCAGTAAATTGCCAGACAGGCGCACTTGCATGACCGGTGTGGTTCTAGTTTGATCACCGATGTATCTACCCCTGTTTTTATTGGTTTTGAACTTCCAGGTAGTTGCCAAGCGACTATTGTAGTCTACACACATTGATGTGTTCGGAAAGTTGTGGTGGTTTGGTCTTTGTAGGCGACTGCGCAAAGACGATAGTTGTATTGTATATAGCCATGCGCATGCATACCGATAGAGCTGTTGGGGTGTGCGTTGTGTGTATTTAGGTTTTTTTTATTGCCGTTGGGTTTCCGTTGAGTGTGTATAGGATGGTGCTTTAGTTGTATCTCCGTATTATATAGTCACGCGCTTGCATACCGATAGAGCTGTTGGGATGTTCGTTCTGTGCATTTAGGTTTTTTTTATTGCCGTTGGGTTTCCGTTGTGTGTGTATAGGATGGTGGTTTCGTTGTATCTCCGTATTGAGTCACATTCTCATAAATAATAAAACCCTATAGCAAGTCTCCAACCGTCGATAGTCACATGATACTACTGCAAAGACTTCAATGCCTATGCCGACAGGCGGTGGGATTTGCGATGTACATCGCTCGGGATGTTCGCTACTTGGCGAATCTGTGCGTTTTATATCGTCCTTCATTCTCCTCAACACAGCGCACCCCAGCTATTTGGATGTTACCCTCTCATTCTAAACACAGCGCACCCCAGCTATTTGGATGTTACCCTCTCATTCTAAACACAGTACACTCCAGCTATTTTGATGATACCGTCTCATTCTAAACACAGTACGCTCCAGCTA